TATATATTATGCATATATCAATTATATATCAACATATATATAAATATATATATACATATTTAGACATATACATATATATACATATATATATGTATATATATTTATACATATATATATACATTATATATATCATAAAGATGCATGTGTAATTACACTGCATGCATGCATGCATGCATGCATGCATGCATATGTATATGCATGCATATGTATATACAGGGGAGCGTTTCAGAACGCATCTACGCCGATTGACAGAAGTGTCTCCTTGGATTTGGTGTCTCCTCATCTAGTCGGGCGTTGGGCAGCGCTGCAGTCTCTTTCTACTTTGATGTGGAGTTTCTCTGCCTTCCTTGGAGGCTTTCTAGCAGACTGCACTAATTATAGACAAATCTTCATATTCACGGGTATACCGTAACATCATATACTCTAGGGTTTAGGGTTTAGGGTTTAGGGTTTAGGGTTTAGGGTTTAGGGGTTAGGGGTTAGGGGTTAGGGGTTAGGGGTTAGGGTCTAGGGTCTAGGGTTTAGGGGTTGGGGGATAGGGTTTAGGGTTTAGGGTTTAGGGTTTAGGGTTTAGGGTTTAGGGTTTAGGGTTTAGAGGGTGGGGGATAGGGTTTAGAGTTCGTAGAGGCTTCTGGGTGGATTGCACCAACTGTAAATAAATATTCATATTCACAGGTACATGGGCTAGGGTTTAGGGTTTAGGGTTTAGGGTTTAGGGTTTCGAGGGTTTTGTGTGTATAAACGCAGGCCGCATTTATATTGTTGCTCAGTTGGTGTATCTGCCTTGTCTATGGCTGCTGCCTCATCGCCGACAGCTAGCTACAGCTCGCCAGCAGCTAGCTAAAGCTAAGAGCGAGGAAACATCAGCTAACCCCCAGCTAGCCAATGCACGCCTGCCTCCCCTGGTGAAGCCTGAGCTATCGCCTACTACTGCAGGATAACGCTGCAGCTAGCTAGCTAGCTAGCTAGACAGCTAGCTAGCCAGCTAGCCAGCTAGCTAGCCAGATAGCTAGACAGCTAGCTAGCCAGATAGCTAGCCTGATAGCTATCCAGATAGATAGCCAGCTAGCTAGCGAACTGGCTAGCTGGCTGGCTAGCTAGCTAGCTGGCGAACCACGTGCTTGTGTAACTGTCTAGCTAGCGAGAGAGACGGCTTGCTGTCTAGCTACTATATGGATAGCTAGCTAGCTAGCCAAGTGGTGTCTACTTGTCTTTATCTGAACGTGCGAGGAGACAGATAAGTAAGGAGACAGCGGAGGCCTCCCTCCTTTCTTTATTTCTTTTGTCTCCTCATAACTCTTTTCTTTTTTAAATTGAGTTTTGCATGCGTCTGCACTTGCATTGCTGCAGCGGCAGCTGCTGCTGATGCTGCTGCTGCTGCTGCGCTGGCTGCAGCAGCCCCACAGCACCGGCAGGAGCCATCAACAAGCGGGCTAGCTAAATAGCTAGCTGTCTAGCTAGCTAGTTAACTGTCTAGCTAGCTAGCTAGCTGGCTAGCTAGCTGTCTAGATAGCTAGCTAGCTAGCTAGCTAGAAGTTGGGGGCGTTTGCTGGTTGTCTTCGATGTCTACGAAGGCTGAGAAGTATTCCCTCGCAAATTCAAAAATGTTGTCCTGAGGAGACACCGCAGCAGCTCATGGTTTAGCTAGCTAGATAGCTAGCTAGATAGCTAGCTAGATAGCTAGCTAGATAGCTAGCTAGATAGCTAGCTAGACAGCCAGCTAGCTGCAGGTTAGATGTATTTTAGCGGAGCTTGTTGCAGCTACGCACGCATCGTTATACAGCTGACCCCTGGTGGCTAGCTAGTAGCTAGCTATTGACTAGCTGTAGTTAGTTGTTAGCTAGCCACTAGCTAGCTACTGGTATCTAGGTGATGTCTAGCTACTAGCTAGCTTCTGTATAGCTAGTCGTGGCTAGCTAGTAGCTAGCTACTAGCTAGCTTATGTCTAGCTAGCAACTAGCTAGTAGCTAGTCAGTGGGTACGTGGTGGCTAGCAAGCAGCTAGCTAGCCAGTAGCTAGCTGCTAGCTAGCTGGTGGCTAGCAAGCAGCTAGCTAGCGAGTAGCTAGCTACTAGCTAGCTGGTGGCTAGCTGTATATATTTGCATACGGGTTTGGAGAGAAGAAGTGCTGAGGCGAAGTCGGTGAGAAGTTCGCGCAAACCCGAAAATGAACAAAGACGAAGAGTATGAGCTAACTCAACTTCACGCTGAGTCAAATAAGTAATAAATATAATATATATATATATATATATATATTTATTTATTTATTTATTTATTTGAGGTGAAGACGGCGGCTGCATGGGTTTGTTTGCCTTTGTAGGCTGATCTGTGCTGTCTATGTTTAAGTGTAGTTTGTTTCTTGCAGTAGTACTACTACTTCTGCTGCTGCTGCTGTTGCTGCTGTTGCTGCTGCTGCTGCTGCTGTTGCTGCTGCTGCTCCTAACCGCTCTATTTGTAAGGCGCTGCGCCGTCTCGAGGTCTCCATTTAAGACAGCCTGAAACCGATCAGCTCCTGTGCCTGTTGTTGCTGCTGTTGCTGCTGTTGCTGCTGTTTCTGCTGTTGCTGCTGCTGCAGCAGCAGCAGCAGCATCACCCCCTTCTTCTTGCGGTATAGCCATTGAATTGAGGTGTACAGAAGCTTCTATTGTTTGCTGTTTTAGTTTGTTGTTTATAGACAGACTTTAATAAATAAAAATTAATTATAATTTAAATTATTATATTATTTTTTATTATAAAATAAAATAGAGGTTTCTTTTCTATGTTTGTTTGCTGCAGACAGCAGAGGGTGGGTCACCGGGGGCTGCAGTTTTATTATATTTATTATATTTATTATATTTGTTATATTTATTATTATATTTATTATATTTATTATTATTATTATAATTAAAATATTTAAATATCATATTATAGACATATTAATGCCTACGTCTTCTACGCAGCCATCACCCCGCTGCGGTGTCTGCGCATGCACTTGAATCAGTGTATATATATATATATATATGTATATATATATATATATATATACATTTATATGTAAATATATATGTTTAAGAAGATATGTATATATTTGTAAATGCAGCAGAAAAAATATACATATATATATAGGAAGATAAAACTAAATAGACATATATATACATTAACATATAACATATTAGAATATAAATTAATAAAGAAGAGCAGACATACACCTAAATATATTTTTTTTCTTTTGTCTGAAGCTGCAAATTATATTTAAGGGGTGAAGAAAAACAAATAAATGAAAACAAAACAGCAGCACTGCTCCTTTGTTTATGATTGTTGCTGTTGCTGCTGCTGCTGCTGTTGCTGCTGCTGCTGCCGCTGCTGCTGATCGTTGCTTCTGGGAGCTTTCCGGTGTTTGCTGCTGCCTGCTGCAGCTGTCCATTGTTTGCTGCTGCTCAGCAGCAGCAGCAGCAGCAGCAGCAGCAAGCAGCAGCAAATATAATAATGCATTATTACTAAAATTGCATCAAAGCAACTTTAACTGTCTCCTATTCAAGGAGACAGTTTGTCTTCTTTCAGACACTCAGCAGCACCAGGGATGGAAGGGGTAATTCTAAGAAAAACAAATAAATATAAAACAAAACACTAAAACAAAAATAAATATATTAAAGCAAAAGGAGACAGCAAAGAGACAAACAAATAAAATATATTAAAGTCAAAGGAGACAGTAAAAAGGAGACAGGGAAATAAACAGAGACAAAAAAAGCAAACAAATAAATAAATAAATAAATAAATAAATAAATAAATAAATAAATAAAAGAAGATAATGAAGGCGAAACAATTTTAAAGAAACAAACAAATAATGCAAAGACAGACGCACGGAGACAGCAGCAAGACAAACAACAGCGGGACAAAAGTATAGCAGCAGCAGCAGCAGCAGCATGAGCATCAGCAGCACCAGCATCAGCAGCATGAGCAGCACCAGCAGCAGCAGCATGAGCAGCAGCGGCAGCACTAGCAGCAGTAGCAGCAGCAGCAACAGCATGAGCATCAGCAGCATCGGCAGCACCAGCATCAGCAGCACCAGCAGCAGCATCAGAAGCAGCAGCAGCAGCAGCAGCAGCGAAAAAGTGTTGCATACATGGGGTGTACGTACACCTGACGCATGCATAGCCACCACCTTTGATTGTAAGAACGAAAGAAAAGCCTCGTTAAAGCTTCTTTAAACCCTGCGGCTCCTCTTTGCTGATTGAATAAAAATAAATATAATAATATAATATATTATTACTTTCATATAATATATTGTTAATATAATATAATAATATAAATTAATATTTTATTAAGATAATGTATTATAATATACTATATTGTTAATTTAATATTTCTAAGTTCACAGCACAAATCTAACGCCAGAGGCACAAGCATCAGCAGCAGCAGCAGCAACAGCAGCAGCAGCAACAGCAGCAGCAGCAGCAGCAGCAGCAATAGCAACAGCAGCAGCAGCATCAATGCGTGCTTCCGAAGACAGACCTCCAAGCTAGAGAGGCATTTTGCTGCCTGCGCAACAGAGCAGCACAGCAGCAAACCAGTTGAATGTACACCCGAAACAACCTGCAGCAGCAGCAGCAGCAGCAGCAGCAGCAGAAGCAGCAGCAGCAGACGCAGCAGCAGCTCTGCTTGCTGTCTTTACAGACGCGCGAATACAAATAGCAACATGTGCAAAACAAAATGCAGCAGCAGCAGCAGCTGCTGCTTCTCCTGCTGCTGCTGCTGCTGCACCTGCTGCTTCGGCAGCGATTGCTGCGGTAAGAGAAGAGACAACAGCAGCAGCAGCAACGGCAGCAGCAGCAGCAGCAGCACGTACTTCTCGTTGAGCGGCAGGGTCGTTGTGTATGTACAACACCTGCAGCTGCTGCAGCAACTCCTCGCTGCTTAGCACCAATTGTCTGCAGCAGCAGCAGCAGCAGCAGCAGCAGCAAACAATGTCTCTCTCCCGTGGTCATAAGGAGAGCTGCGCTGCTGCTGCCGCAAAGACTATTGCTACAGTTGTTGCTGCTGCAGCTGGTTCTGTTTGCTGGTGTTGTTTGCTGCTGCTGCTGCTGCTGCTTTTTGCTGCTGCTGCTGCTGCTGCTTCTGCTGCACCTTGTCGCTTCTGACGATAAGAGAGCGGTAATAACCCTGAAGAG